GAAAGGTGGGAAAGTTTAATTTCGTACATATTACGTATACAACTGTTTATATCAGAAAATAAGGTACGTTATGAGGTGACAGCATTTAAAAATTTTTTTCAATTATTACTAATTATTTGACAATCCCACCCTTCATTAGTACCTCTACTTTACTCCTGTAAAAGGATTTTGCGATCTGTAAAGCCGTTTCAAAATGAGAGCTTTGAAATGAATTGTCGGTAATTTGGACGGCTTTAGCATCCCCTTAAACTTACGATGCATGAAAAAAATCTGCTTAATTTGCTCCTTCATAATATGCATTTTTTATAATTGGCTCCATTTTACTTTTTTTTATAAACAAATAATAAAGTTAATAACAATGTAAACGTTAATATAAGCAAAAATCATTAGAATTTATAGATTTGCAAGGAACAGAAAAATTGCTTCTTTTTTGTTTAAATTTGCTCCACCTTTACGAACAAATTATCTACAGTATTTATTAAGAAAAACGTAAATAATTGCATTATGCAGTTTGGAGGTTATCAAGAAATTATGCGCACGTGCAGTATTTAGTGCCTGCGCAACAGAAATCGAGCGCGCCATTTCTTAAATTATTCATTTTTCTTTAATTTGCTTTATACAGTTTGCGAGATATCAAAATTATCAATCATTAAAATTTGTACATTCTTAAGGCACAGACAAATAATAAAAAAATAAAAAATAATTGCTTTACATATTGCATACATTTTGCATAACATACTTCTTTTGTGAAGTTCTAAAATAATATAACTTTGGCTACGGTCAACGTGACACTACAAATGCTTCGAAGCATTTTTTGATTGGTTAATTCGTAAAATTCTTTTTTCTGATTGGTCGATCAAATGCTTCAAAGCATTTGTAGAGTCACGTTGACCGTAGCCTTTATGTACCAAGAAAGATGCAACAATTAAAGCGGGGAGCACACACTTCTGCATAAGGCATAATGCGTAAGCATAAGAAAATTGATTGGTCCATACACATGTGCATAAAAAAATAGACCAATCAATTTTCTTATGCTTACGCATTATGCGTTATGCAGAAGTGTGTGCTCCCCGCTTAAGGTCAATCCAGACAAACTTGCATAGCGCATAAACATAAGCATAAGAGATTTGATTGGTCCATATGCATGTGCATAAGGAAATAGACCAATCCGTTTCTTTATGCATATGGTTATGCACTTATGCAAGTTTGTCTGGATAGACCTTTAAGGCCATCGCACACCATAGGCTGCATAAGCATAGCATAAAAGCGCTGGACCAATGAGCATCTTATGTAAATCAATATGGCGACTTTATGCTGGATGCTCATTGGTTTAGCGGTCTTAAGGTGGAAGCACATAAAATTGTAGGAGCCATGAGCAGAATGCAGAAGCCATATGCGCATGTGCGATGTATAGCTCTTCAGATACCATGCCTGCGTTCTGAAACCTTACTCGAGTTAACTCTAGTTAACTCGAGGCGTTCAGAAATGCCGAGTTGACCCATTTGTGGCGTTCAGAAACACGCTTGAGTCAACTCTCGAGTTAACTATTTCTACCCACGTCGAGGAGGTAGGTAGAAATTACTCGACATGCGCACATATATAGATTCCGTCATATAAGGGGCACATAACGCATGTTCTCGAAACACGCCTTTTTTAGGTTAAAGTTATTCACAAGAACCGGCGAACAAAAAGGGATACGGACACTATTTTCTTGATGCGCTGCCATATTTTCACTCATATTCAATGCTTGATGGGAGAGCGCCATGTTAACCCGTGATGTTACTTTCGTCGTCCATAAACGACAGTAACCCGAAGTCAACTCTAACTCTACTCCTACTCTACCTGGGTAAAAGTTTCTGAACGCAGGCCATAGCGCATGCGCATATGGCTTCTGCTTTCTGCTCATGGCTCCTGCAATTTTATGTGCTTCCACCTTTATGCTACGTTTATGCTAAGTTATGCATTTTGTGCGCGATGGCCTTTAAGCGGGGAGCACACACTTCTGCACAACGCATAATGCGTAAGCATAAGAAAACTGATTGGTCTATTTCTTTATGCACATGTGTATGGACCAATCAATTTTCTTATGCTTACGGATTATGCGTTGTGCAGAAGTGTGTCCGGGCCCTTAAGGTGGAAGCACATAAAATTGCAAGAGCCTTGAGCAGAATGCAGAAGCCATATGCGCATGCGCTATGGTATTTGTAGAGCTCTACAGATACCACAGCGCATGCGCATATGGCTTCTGCATTCTGCTCATGGCTCCTGCAATTTTATGTGCTTCCACCTTTAAGCGGGGAGCACACACTTTTGCATAACGCATAATGCATAAGCATAAGAAAATTGATTGGTCTATACACATGTGCATAAGGAAATAGACCAATCAAATTTCTTATGCTTACGCATTATGCGTTGTGCAGAAGTGTGTGCTCTTCGCTTTATTCTGCATTTATACATGATTTCTGATTTCTATTCCCTGTTGCCTGGCATTGTGCAAGGGGCTTAAGGGGATTCTATAGTGGAGGCCGAACTTCCTCGACGTCGGTATATAATGTCAACATTTCTAATCCTGTTTTCTATGTTAAGCCTTGTATACACGATACTAAAAATCGGACCCGAGTCCTCTTTCCGAGAAAAAGTTACTAGAACTTGAATCGTGTATACAGGCAACTCGGATGAATTTCTCGAATAGAAATCTCGTACAGAAAAATGCATCCTGTCCCATTTTTCCGTACAAGTTATCGATTCAATTCCATGTTGCCAATGTTATTACTTTATAAATAGCTAGTCAATGATGGTCAATGTAACGTTGGACAACGGAAATGTATATAACTTTCATAAATCTTTGATAAATATTAAGGCCATTGCACCTAAAAAAAATTGTCATAATCGTAAGGTTGTAAAAAAATAGACCAATCACACTCGATTATTCTTCAAGCGCGAGTGTAACAATTATCCTAAGTTGTACATACATAGTGTAAATACATAACTGTCTTACATACATATACGAGTCATAATTGAACACGAGAACCTTTACGGCCATCTCAGCCAATAGTAACCAATAGTAACCATAGAGGACTTGGACCGATTTCTAGCATCGTGTATACAAGGCTTTATCAGAGAGAAGAATCTCTGGCTTTGGGCCGGTCTCACAGTCTCCGATTAAAGGTGCCTTTTCATGCTGACGCTCGACGCTCATTTTCAGCGGTAAGAAGGTCGCATGACCACAATTGACGCCGGCGTCAATTGAAATTCATGAAAAGGAAAACAGCGTCAAAATTTCGGCGTCTTCGCGCTGCTTTGGCTTTGACGCTTAAAGCTGAGAAAATCCAGCTTTCTTTGCTTGACGCTAGCGTCAGATCGAAATCACGTGATCTCGCGATACGCTGAAACGAGCGTCCCATGAATTCGCACCTTAACGTGATTCTCCGATTAAACTCACTCTTCGTCTCTTTCTAGGGGGATAGTTAGAAAGAGATGCAGAGTGAGTTTAATCGGAGAATCACGTTAATCCGAGACTGTGAGACCGGCCCTTTATCTTAAGCTTTATATATCTATATCTGTCCTTGTCTAACGAGAGGCATCTGTCCTTGTTCGATTGCTGCGCCATCTCTCGCTACACGCAATACTGCTTATCCTATCAACCTGAATGTGCTTTTGCTTAATAAAACTTTATTAGAAAAAATCTTTTTTTCTAGGCTTTGAATCTTAGTCGAAGAATCAAAAAACGACGTAGCTATGAACGCCACAAGCCAGTTATCTCTGTGGTAACTTTTCTGACACCTCTTGCTGAAAACTCATCTTCAAGCCAAAAGGATCGATAGCTGTGCTTTCGCAGTCTCTATGCGTACTGAACGTACGAACATCGAGATCAAGCCCACTTTGCCCTTTTGCTCTACGCGAAATTTCTGTCCTCGCTGAGCTGGCCTTATGGAGGATTCACATTGCGTCCGATGTTCGACGTACGACGATCCGACATCCAATAACAGAATTTATTATTAGAGACAAAAATTTCTTATTGGATGTCGGATCGTCGTACGTCGAACATCGGACGCAGTGTGAATCCTCCATTAGTTCTATTTACACAATATTGTTTCTACATATGTTGTCCCTAGTCCGCCTGGGTATCATTTTATACACATAAACTGCAGTATTTTTGTTATTGTCGTCAGATGACAGCTGTATGTGCCCAAATTAGTAAAATTTTTAATTTTTTTTCATTCCCGATATGAAATCGTGTGTCGCGGACTAGATTTTGTGCGTACTTTAATTCTGTAAAAGAATTTTGCAATTCGGTAAAGCCAATTCAAAGATTTCTTATAATACAAAAATGTCGGTAACTACCTGCCACTAGGTCTCCTTAAATACAGGAATATTCCTATATATATATATATATATGTTTATGGCTGGTATTCATAGGCCGGTATTCATAGTCGGTTCTTATATTTAAGACCATCTTAAGTACAATCTTAAGATGTCATGAACCAATCACAGAGCCGTATTAGCATCTTAAGACATTAGACGGTCTTGAATACCGGTTGGTTATTCTTATATTTTAGATTTTACTTAAGACGGTCTTAAATATAAGACCTGATTATGAATACCGCCCATAAGTGCAAAATCATCCCCCAGGTAGCATTAATGTCTAAAAGACATCATAAAGATGTCTTTAAAATGCCAGAAATCTTAAAGATGTCTTTATGATGTCTTTTAGACATTAATTGCTACCTGGGCTTGGACGGTGTTCATGCTGAACTTCGCATGTTTAAGATCGCCGGCCTCATATTTTAAATTATCTCAATAAGTACAATCTCGAGAAAACTTATGCGTAAGATTATACCTGATTATACTATGAATATCATCGTGGCACTCGGATGACGAATCTCGCGTGACTTCAGACGTGAAATTGCAGACTGATAAAATTACAGATTTTTACTTTTTCAAAAAAATGTGAAGATTCAAGGAAATCGTCGGATCCATGTCTTTTGAGACGAGCAATCTGAGATCGCAGATAATGATGTTTAATCAAAATCAGTAACTTGTGTATTATGTGCATTAACAATCCTTAACATTAAACAAATTCGCATTAAGGTAGTTCGATAATGAACAACTTTTGCCAAAAGTAATAGGTTTTATTTTTTATATCGAAAAAAGGAACTCTCCTAAATCGATTAAGCCTAGAAAAAAGATAATTCACCGTCCCGTTCTCAAGATATTTAATTTTAAAATTATTAGGTGATTTTAATGATTTTAACTTGATCTAATAGGAAAAGAGGTTATTTTCCTATGAATAACACGAGTTTGCAAAAAATCTTTTGCCAAAAATGTCTGAACAATATATATCGATGGAAAGAGGACACTGTGAGGAAGCCTATAGTTGAAGGTGAACACGATCCACCGTACAGTTTTTTTTTAATTAATAATTAAAGTTGAAAACTAGTCAAGCGACGCGTTAACACACACTTTATTTAATCTATTTCAGGCAAAATATTATTCTACAACGAAAAAATTCTTTACTAACGGTCTTTTTACGTTGTTATGAAGCTTTGCGATGCGTTATTCTATTTTTTTATAATCATAAAAATAAAAAAATTATAAACATTGTTTTGACTTCGGCCCTTCATCATCGAACTACCTTAATGATATTATTATTTGCAAGCGCCTCGCTCAAGTAGAAAAAGATATTAGCTCTCTCGTACTTTTAGCTGTAAAACGGCAATCTTTCAGTCCTAAACAGTATTTCTAGAAAGTACAATTTTTTGCCCTAATACAAATATAACAATATATCGCATAAAAACGTAATTCGGACTATCAATAAAAAGGTCAATTAAATATAATGATTACCTAGAATATATAATAAATAATTTGTGAATATAATTTGTAAAAATATCACACACACTTCCGTACCTTCGAGCACAGAATTTCCCGTCGTTTGAATTCCGTTGCACAAAGAATTTGTTATAATAAGCGCTTGAATTAAAATTGATTAAAATTATAATAGCGTACGATGAGAATAAATAGATAAATCGAGAGATCCCCGAACGTTCCAATCGAAGAAAATAACCGTCAAAAGTCATTCTATACTGTTTAAAGTCAAGGATACCTTGTCACCAGAGTCACCAGAGAATTAGATCATATATGATATATGGGCTGTTGATACATGGCTACGCTGCTACTTCACCGAAATTCTTGTGACCGGTGTCCTTGGCGTGCTGCTGTGCTGCCGCTTGTCCGCTTAGCATGACTTTACAGTCAATACACATCAGGGTAAATTTTTGCACATCCGTGAACTGGCGACTCAATCTTGCCTCTTTCGCAAGTTGAGCGGCTTCTAGAAGCACTCTCTCATCCTCGGTGGGAAATATCGTTTGGATACTGCCACCCTGATAAAGAAAATGCATTAAAGTCAAAATTATAAAGTTTACAAAAGACTGATAGAATTCTGTGTTGAAAGATAAATGTAAAAAAAAAAATTGAGTCTTCTTAGTTTTGATATAATTTGACCCTTCGAGGCCATACCTCTTTTCTAATACGTCCCAGCTACACTGGGATGGTCACTACCCCAGACGGATTCAGTCTCATAATTTAAATTAATGCACGTAAAAATTCATTAAAACATCTTAAGGAGATCCTGGATCGATGGCAATGACCGATATTTATAGGTGTATGATTTTCTTCGAATTGGCTTTACAGATTTGAAATCCCTTTAATTTATGATATTCCTTTAATTCGTTAATTAATTTGGCTAAAATTTAGGAAAAACCGTTTCAAAGCAACTGCTTTGACAAGGAAAGCTGTTTTGAAACGGTTTTTCCCAAATTTTAGCCAAATTAATTAACGAATCTCATTAAATTTATGCTTGTTTTAATCAGTAAGATCAGCCGCAACCCGGTACAGAGCCGGATTTTCCATTTTGGCTCTTAAAAATTTATAATAAATAAAATACGGACTCGCAGCTAAGCCAACCCGACAGAGGTCTCCACCGTGTCTTCTGCCGACCCTTGGGTGTTGTTAAAAAATATGTATGGTGCAGAACCCGAAATGTGCTCGATGAACAAAAATATTGTAATTTTTAGTCGCGATAAGGAATATACACCAAGCGCACACCGGGATGGTCACTACCCCTATAATAATTTTCAAATGTTTACCAAACATAACTAACATGAATAAAAATATCTTCGCTCGTCTGAAGCAAAAGCTAATCGTATGTTTCGGCCTTTATTACGAGCGGTATTCAAGTGTTAATAAAGAATTTTACATTAACTTGTGATCCGTTTTAATTCGTAGCCAACGTTTCGACCTACTTGGTCTTCTTCAGGGCAACTATTGTTACATTCAAATAAATAAATTAATGTCTATTGGAGCTCACATAAGAAAATTATATACAATAACATTAAATTTTGATAGTCATTGTCAGTGATGCGTCACGCAAACAAAGGTCAAAGTCGTGCTCAAATTAGCGCTGTCATCAAGCACACAGTAAAAAGTTACCGATTACATTATCGCGGTTGACAAATTCGTATTCTTTACTTTCCTCGCAGCAGCAGTCCTCCATAGGAATAAATTGCATCTTATCGGTGGTCCTCTGTAGGATTGGAATGCATTTATCAGCTATGTTCGGCGTCTGAGTTTGTCGTTGTTTGTCATATGTTATGTAGGAGTAGATTCAGTCAAGCTCTTGTTCGCGCGACCATACTCAGTGGCAACTATATTTCAAATAGAAATAGTTAATCACATGGTTAGTATTGTAATTAAACGATAAAGAACTTACATAAGTGGTCACGTTAACGGGTCTTATGTTTTAACGAACGTATCTCCAAACCAATGTGTTTCGTATCGAGGACGTACTGCTAATGCGAGAGCAAAGTATATTCGATGGTCGACTCCGTACAGTCAATGTTTATGTTTATAGCTAGATAGTTCACTTAGAATGTCAAAGTAGGCCCTATCCAACAATTCGGTATCTTTGTTCAAGTTAATTCCATTGGTCTGTTCCTTTATGCGGATCATCTCAGAGATAATTCTTTTTTTATAATTACCCTCATAATCTAGAATTCGTGTTTCCTCCCAATTAAACAAATGGTTAAGAGCGGTAATGTGTTCCGAGACTACCGAATGCTTGGACGGGTCTAAATTAAGGCTCCTGGGTAGTCACGGTGGCGCCGTACCGTCGCGGCAGAAATAAGAACCTCTCCTCTCACTCTCTCCAATGGAGAATTCTGTCTTGTGACATGTTGACAACCTATTTTGCGTTACGTTAAATTTCTTTATTATTCGCTCGGTACTTGTGCTAGTTATAGCGTTAGTTTAACGTATTCGTGAAACTCGTAAAATTGACCGTATGGTAAGATTTGCAAGAAATACGTATGCGGAAGAAACATTCTCCACTCCTTTCGATAGTCGAAAACGGCTTGTTTTTCCGTATATGTTTAGGCTTCGTTTTATGGCTGTTTGTTTATTGTCGAGAGAAAAGGATAGTATCCGGTCAATTTTAGAAGCGTGCTGAAACGATCTATAGTGATTTTTTATTGAAATGTCTTTTTATTTCGGAAAATACCGCAACATAAAATAGGTTAATTTCTCGCCTCGATAGAGAGAGAGATTCAATATGGCCGCGGACTACCCAGGAGCCTTAACATTGTATTTATGCTCCCTCAGTCTGGTATTTAGCTGTCTTTTAGTCCTGAAGAAGACCAAGTAGGTCGAAACGTTGGCTACGAATTAAAACGGAAGTTTTACAAGTTTTACGAATTAAAACACAAGTTAATGTAAAATTCTTTATCAACACCTGAATACCGCTCGTGATAACTGACATGGCTTAAAGCCTTTCTACTGCATGGATCTTTGAGAGAGAGACCCAACTAAGGATTCTGGGTGAAGGGACACTGATTATAAAGCCTATCTTAAAAATATTGGGTTCTGAATTTTTATTGGGGTGGCCGCCACCCCATGTGGCCTCGAAGGGTTAAAAATATACGATAAAATCGAGAAAAAATAAAATTTTTAAGTATTGACATAAGAAATTTACATCAAGCGGCTCCAAGTAGAGAGGGTCATAATGGATTCCATCAAATATGAGGAAGACCCGTTGAGCGTAATGTTGGTCCTCGCCAAACCTATTGATGATCGCGTTAATGCTATCGATTACCGCTATCTCCAAACCATAAAACTTAGACAGAATCGACAACTCTATGGCGCCACCCCAAGCGTCAGATTTGAGGATCCACTCACAATATTCAACATTGGGTCTACCTAGAAATGCCTCGGAGTATTCATTCGGGTCTGCCGCTACCGCATTTGCTATAATTTCTCTCATAAAACTGGCGCAGCTAGTGTCCACTTTTCCTAAAGAAACACAAATTAAATAATTATCATAATTTACAGTTTTTGAGTTACATTTGTTTTTCCTTTTTCGATTTTGAAATATATGCAATTTTTATTTAGCCTTGATACTTTTAGGTACTTGTATACTTAAATCATATTTTTAAAAATAATATTTATTTTTAAAATTATATAAATTATATGCTCTTCTTTGCATCTTTAAACTTAAGAAAATTATTTGGATATATTCTACCTTTGATGGATTGCATCATATTCTAACGTTTTTATCTCCTAGTGCTTGCTCACCATTCAGGACGTAACCCACGCTGGTAAAGAGACAGGAATTATCTGCAGGTACAACCTTCCTCATAAGGACACCTGGAGCATTAGCAAAGTTGTCCTGGTCAACGATATGCGACCGTCCGAGATTGTCCAGTCTCTGCTCATGTCTATTGAACACGATCTGCATGTGATGTTCATATAAGAGATTCTTTTCTTGACTTTTTTAGACATTGAATGGGTTTCAAGCAAAATAAATAAATAAAATCATAATTTTAATGTGACAAAAATTATTTGTTATGTATTTAAGCTTAAATAGAGATAGGAATAAATGAAATGGATAACTCTAGTGTGTACAATTTTTATGTACAGATTTCAACTTTGATCAATGTCTCTATTTCTTGTCTTGTAAAGGTAAAGAATTTTTATGAATGACGGATTAAGGAAGGTGGTTGGTGTCATGGCACATTATGAGGCAGGCAGCAAGGAGAAAAAGCCTATAGGTGCGTCGCGATCAAATTTTTCATCACGTGAAATAAACAAGTTAAGGTTTTAAGGTGATCCTGGAGCCGTTTGTATTACCAACCAAATTCTATATCTGTCCTTGTATAGACAATGATGATAGACAAGAATAGACATGGTTATAGGTTAGAATTTCTTCGAAGCTCTCATTTTTATTCCAGGCTTTCAATCTCAATTTCAAAGGTACGTTATTGTTTGTGCACGTCTTCTAAAGAGTGGGAACATTTCATTTCGTACATATTACTTATATACAACTGTTTATATTAAAAAATGAGGTTATTTTTACATTTTTTTCAATTATTTACATTTTTTTCAATTATTACTAATTATTTTACATTCCCACTCTTCATTAGTACCTATACTTTACTCCTGTAAAAGGATTTTGCGATCTATAAAGCCGTTTCAAAGAACGAGCTTTGACTGTTTGTCGGTATCCAGGATCCTCTTAAATCGTTGTTTGTACAATTGAAACTCAAATACATTATTATCTACATTGAAATGTGGCAACATGCTGTTTTATTTTTACAATTTCTTGATAACTATGTAGACAAATTATTTCAGTCTTCGTAAAAGTCCTTTCTAAATATGTAAAGAGTTATTTGCATCTATTTTCATTAAATTCTTATCATTTTTAATATACTTTCGAGAGTTACATTACAGGTAACATTTTTGCTATGTCACCAGTGTTCAAGAGTATAACTTCAATATAATTAATTACTCGACAACTATGCAGACAATTATCTTCAACTTTGGCATGGACAACAAATTCCCATAAACAAATATCCTCCATAAATTTGAACTAATTCTTATCATTTTGATTTGAGCAACCACTCTCCTTAATGTGACCACGAATTACATAATATTTTGTATATTTGCTTGCTCAGACATATAGGTACTCAACAAACCAATGCTATATATTCTTTTTATATCATTTCCTGTGGTCTCAGGAGTTGACGAGACAAACCTGTTTCTCTTCAACGATAAGGGTGTCTCCGGAGATGATACCGGCGCGTTCAATCGTGGCGTCGGCCGCGTTTAGGTCGATAGGTTTCGGCGGAAAGCCGATAAGTACCTGGAGGGCAGCGGTTGGTACACCAGTGAGTTCGGCGAGCTTCGCCTTCAGCTGCGATACTTTATCGTGGGCCGTGAGACCATAAACAACCTTTTGACCTGTTTTGGTTTTCACTCGGAGCACGAAACTCGCCATGACCGTCAGTCCACTCCCTGCGACTAGAAACGGCCGTGACTCGGACTCGGACGACGTGTATTTCCGCCAATCAGCTGTTTCGCGCGTGCCTTCGCGGCACCTTTATTCTCGTTATCGTTGTTGTTGTTGTTGTTGTTGTTGTTGT